AACCTGACCTTGCCATACTTGCTGTAAACACATTTGTTAAGGTAATAAACTATAGCCATACTTGCAACAAACTGTTATGCGGAAAAAAAATGCTGATATGGTACGTTAAAACATGACCTTTTCATAGAAACTAATAAGATGATTCATGAAATGAAACTTTTGCAGGATTCACAAGATCCAAATCCACTGATTCGTGCTTTAGCTGTGAGGACAATGGGTTGCATCCGTGTGGACAAAATCACAGAGTATCTCTGTGATCCTCTTCAAAGATGCCTCAAGGTTTTTTTTCTTTTTGTTGTTTCTAGAACTTTTCAGTCAAGTTGACCTCTTCTATCTAAGTCTATATTTGGCTCTTGAATTGCACACAGGATGATGATCCGTATGTACGGAAGACTGCAGCTATTTGTGTTGCTAAGCTTTATGATATAAATGCTGAGCTAGTTGAGGACAGAGGATTCCTAGAGGCCCTTAAAGACTTAATATCTGACAATAATCCTATGGTAGTTGCCAATGCTGTTGCTGCGCTTGCAGAGATTCAGGACAGCAGTACTCGTCCAATCTTTGAAATCACCAGTCATACGCTGTCAAAGCTTCTGACTGCTCTGAATGAATGCACAGAGTACGATGCAACTTTTGATGTATTGAGTTTTGAACCTATCTGGATATTAAAAATTCAGTCCACTTAACATATTTGGTGTATTTGCAGATGGGGCCAGGTTTTTATTTTGGATTCTCTGTCAAGGTACAAAGCAGCAGATGCCAGGGAAGCAGAAAATATAGTGGAACGGGTTACACCCCGTCTGCAACATGCAAATTGTGCTGTTGTTCTCTCTGCTGTAAAGGTAAATTATTACCTGATTCGCTTGCATTAGAAAAGACAGTTGTTTTAGACAGGTTTTTGTGCAGTCTGTACAGTTTCTATGTGGTAACCATATATCGTAATATCATCATAGTATTGAGTATTTGAATACGTACCTGTAAGGCTTTTTTAGATTATTATTGGTATTGTGAAGTCCTCAGTACATAGGTAGCAGAATGGATTTATTTTTTTTTCTGAGGAGCAAACAAATTAAGGAATTAATGCATGGCGAAATCATCAGCAGCATTTACTGTTTGTTTTTTATTTAAATGTGTTCTTTTCCATTCACGTGATGCTTTACCTATTGTAGTGTTGTCTATCTCCTTTTACACCAGATGGAAACTTTTGTTGATGCTATACTTTTTCCTGTGTGTAGATAATCCTTTTACAAATGGAGCTCATTACTAGCACAGATGTTGTCCGTAATCTCTGTAAGAAAATGGCACCCCCTCTTGTTACGCTTTTGTCAGCAGAACCTGAGATTCAGTATGTAGCGTTAAGGAACATTAATCTGATTGTTCAGAAAAGGCCTACTATACTTGCACATGAAATTAAGGTGATATATTTTCTTCCTCATCTGAGCCACTCATTTCCAGTAACGCAAATGTGTTACTGACCCAACAGGCTGTTCTTGCAACAGGTCTTCTTTTGCAAGTATAATGACCCAATATATGTTAAGATGGAAAAGCTGGAGATTATGATAAAGCTTGCCTCTGACAGAAACATAGATCAGGTAAAAAATCTGCTGTTTTATATTATTATTGTGTCCAGCGCATGTTAGTTGCAGTGAAAGATTTCCTTAACTAAATGTTTTTCTGCTTTTGTATGGTCTCATGTCTACCAGAAGTGCTTTTGTATTGTTGGAAGAAAGGCTAAACAATTATTATATCAGTTTCAAAAATTGGATTAACTTGCCAACCATGTTGAATGTCTTACTCCTTGTGGAGCAGATGGTTTCTTTTCTGTAAATTTTGTTCAAGAAGCTAACAGAGCTCCTTCTATAGGTTCTATTGGAATTCAAAGAGTATGCCACAGAGGTGGATGTTGACTTTGTCCGCAAAGCTGTTCGTGCTATTGGAAGATGTGCAATTAAGTTGGAGAGAGCTGCTGAAAGGTGTATCAGTGTTTTGCTTGAGCTGATTAAGATAAAGGTTAATTATGTTGTGCAGGAGGCTATAATTGTTATTAAGGACATCTTCAGGCGCTACCCTAATACGTGAGTACTGTGGCATGACAGATCAATGTTCTATATTATGTAACAAAGGAACTCTTCAATTTTTTTATTGTTTTTGCTCAAGAATTGCATCTATAAAACTAACTGTTTTCTTGCCAAAATGCAGGTATGAGTCGATCATCGCAACACTCTGTGAAAGCCTAGACACCTTAGATGAACCAGAGGCTAAGGTATTATTCTATGAAAACTGTCTAGGTAATCTATTGCATTTTTGTGCAATTACATGTTTATTTTTCTCCAGGCATCAATGATTTGGATTATTGGAGAATATGCTGAAAGGATTGACAATGCTGACGAACTTCTTGAGAGCTTCTTGGAAACATTCCCAGAAGAACCAGCATTAGTTCAATTGCAGTTACTAACGGCAACTGTTAAGTTGTTCCTTAAAAAGCCAACTGAGGGGCCTCAACAGATGATACAGGTTGCAATTCTCATCTGGTTATTTGTATGTTTGTGCACGTGGTAATGCTTAGAGGTTGCCGAGCGCGGAATGATTTTTGTCTTGGTGTGGATTTGCCTAAAAAATAGTGGTTAGACTCACGGTTGTGTGTTGATGAAAAGGAATAATTTAGACACATGTTTTGAACTGATTGATCAATTTATGCAATGAACAGTTTCTTCTTCCAATAAGCATGATTAGCCTGCCATTAGTTCTTTATTTGTTTATTGTAACAAAGAATCTGTTCACTGTCTAATTTGCAATAACTTTATCATGTAGGCTGTTCTCAATAATGCAACAGTTGAAACAGACAATCCTGATTTGCGCGACCGAGCTTATATATACTGGCGACTTCTTTCTACTGATCCTGAGGTATCATATCATAACCCCTCACCCTTACCCTTATTCAATGCTTGGTTAAATAGCACTCTTACCATTTATATATGTTTGGCGTCCTGCAGGCAGCTAAAGATGTAGTTTTGGCAGAGAAACCTGTGATCAGCGATGATTCCAACCAGCTTGATTCTTCTCTCCTAGATGATCTGCTAGCCAATATTTCTACCCTTTCATCAGTTTATCACAAGCCTCCAGAAGCATTTGTTAGCCGCGTTAAAACAGCTCCTAGGGCTGATGATGAGGAGTTTGCTGATACAGCTGAAACAGGATATTCGGAGTCACCATCTCAGGGTGTTGATGGGGCATCACCTTCCTCTAGTGCTGGCACTTCTTCTAATGTTCCAGTGAAGCAGCCAGCAGCACCAGCTGCTCCTGCTCCAATGCCAGACCTCCTTGGTGATTTGATGGGTATGGATAACTCCATTGTTCCTGTTGATGAACCAACAGCACCTTCAGGGTTAGTATATTTTTGTGGTTTTTGCTAAGGTGTCTCGTGGCATATTCATTTAATCATTTTGTATGACTAGGACAGGTTTTTGATCATATCATCTTTTCTTGTTCTTCCCTTTTGCAGCCCTCCACTACCTGTTTTGTTGCCATCAACCACTGGCCAAGGACTGCAGATCAGCGCACAACTAGTGCGGCGTGATGGCCAAATATTCTATGATATATCTTTTGATAATGGCACTCAAACTGTGCTAGATGGATTCATGATTCAGTTTAACAAAAATACCTTTGGCCTTGCAGCCGGTGGTGCACTTCAGGTACCAGCTATATATTATAAGTATAAAACATTCTTTTTGAAATTCAATTACATGTACTGAACGTGGTGTTATTCTATGAATAAGGTCTCTCCACTGCAACCTGGGACCTCGGCCAGGACGCTGCTACCTATGGTGGCATTCCAGAATCTCTCTCCTGGAGCGCCAAGCTCACTGCTGCAGGTTGCGGTGAAGAATAATCAGCAACCTGTGTGGTACTTCAATGACAAAATCCCTATGCATGCCTTCTTTGGTGAAGATGGCAAAATGGAACGAACAAGTTTTCTTGAGGTAAAAACGCTAACATGTATTATATTGCATTATTCACAACAGTAGTCAATTTAATTAACTCAATGAATTTCTGTTTCTTGGATTGCCCCGGATTGTTTAGAGTTTCTGAACAAATCTCATGATTCTCTTGCAGGCCTGGAAATCTTTACCTGATGACAACGAATTTTCGAAAGAGTTCCCCTCTTCTGTCGTCAGCAGCATAGATGCGACCGTTGAGCACCTTGCAGCATCAAATGTGTTCTTTATCGCCAAGAGGAAAAACTCAAACAAGGATGTTCTGTACATGTCTGCAAAGATTCCGCGTGGAATCCCCTTCCTGATAGAGCTTACTGCTGCAGTCGGTGTTCCTGGCGTGAAGTGTGCGGTCAAAACTCCAAACAAGGAGATGGTGGCTCTCTTCTTCGAAGCCATGGAGTCTCTTCTCAAGTGATACAAAATTGAAGGATCATTGTTCCTTCCAAATTGATCAGTTCATGAGCTATTGTAGGTTTGGATGCGGCGTTGTTTCACAGGAGCTGGTGTGAATTGTATTTGTTGTTCTTTGTATTAGATTACTGTATTTAAACTGCTAGTTTCCTGGTTTCAAAGTTTTTTCACGACGAACACTCGACATGGCCATTTTGTCTGCGTAATTTGTATATCTCGGACCTGAACCTCTTTTCATGCCATAGCATATGAAATATAAGTAGCTTGCAAACTCGTAATTGATGAGGTACAGATATCATTTTTATCAACTACATTGTTGTTTCACTTGTCTACTTTAAGCAATGATTTCCTTTTATCTGCTTCCTAAAAGCAGCAGTGTGGTGACTGTGTGCTCTACATCCAACCTCTCATGTTCAATAAATTATCGATGTGCTATGTCTAATCGATTTCCATTTTTTTAAAGAAAGAAAAGTTTGATCAAAGTTTTGCATGTGTAAATGAATTGGGTCAATTGATTGAGTATGGCTTACATTTACACATCGAATCTTTAGCACTAAATAACCTTCCCTTGCTTCATTATACAAAATATTTGAATTTGTGGTCTTGAAAATGCATTGCAAGCATGGTCAATATTCGTAATGAACAATGTTTGGAAGCGCTTGACATAGATTTGAATTATTGAACCTGAACAAGGCTTGCGTATTTGCTTACAACCAACTGAAATTCCTACAACCAACTCAAATATAGTAGATCTGACGAAATCAGAGCTCTCGCAATACAATAGTAGATTGACTCAGCCTGACCCCCAAAAAATTGGGACAGTAACATTCAAAACCAAAACTAGTTGGCGTCGCATCGCTCGCGCCTCATCCCGGGCGGTGGATCGATCGATCGATCGGCGTCAGAATCCCGTGTGCATCCGGCGAACCACGCCGCCGTCTCGCGTCGTGTTCTGGCAGTTCTGCTGCTGCTGCGGCGGCTGCTGGCGCACGGACTGCAGCGCCTGGTCGAGCATCGCGGCGAGCGATTCCGGCGACACAGGCGTGCCGCCGTCGAGCGCCCGCTGGTAGGCCTCGTCGCGCTCCACGTTCTTGCCCTTCAGCGCCATGCGCACCAGGCGGCGGATGTCCCGCGGCGTCAGCTCGAGCTGGTCGTCGAGCTCCGGCCCGTCGGAGCGCGTCGCGAACCCCGACAGCAGCAGCGTGCCGTCGCTCGGCCCGCCCTCCCGCAGCATGGCGCCGCCGTACGGGCGCGCCGCGAACTGCGCCCCCTCGTCGTCATCGTCGTCGCTGAGGAAGGCGTCGGCGTCGTCGCCGTCGCCCCAGTCGCCCCTTCTGCCGCACACGTCGCTGAAATCCATGTCGCTGCCGCTCTCGTCGTCCTCGCCGTCACCCTCCTCCCGCGGCGCGTCGTGCGCGATGAGCACGACGTGCATGCGGATCTCGAGCTCGGCGACCTCCTCCTCCGCGCGGCCCTCGCACCGCGCCAGGACGCGCGCCGCCGCCCTGGGGACCTCCGTCTCGACCTCCGGGCGCAGCGTCGGGTGCTCGAGGCCGGCCACCAGCTCCCCGAACGCCCGCTCCGCCGCCGCCGCCCGCACAGCGCCAACATCGTCGCCGTCGCCGCCACGCGCCATCGTCAGGTCGCGGAGCGGCACGCGGCAGGAAACGTCCTCCATCGTGTCCACGTCGCCGCCGCCGTCGTCGTCGTCGTCGTCACCGTACGACGAGCGGTAGGCCATCAGGACAAGCAGCCGGAGCGTGACGGCCGGCGCGGCGGATGACGGCGGCGAGGCCACGATCTCGGAGAAGAAGACCAGCTTGTGTGGGCCAAGCGCTTGAGAATCGTAGACGTTTGCCATGATGGCTCCAGAGCTTTTGATGTGAATTAGAGAGGTGATGATGACGATGACGACGACTCGCGAACCTAATATAGGCGGAGGCGGGTGGGGGAAGGTTTGAGGCAGGGGTAATCGCATCGGAGTCGGATTAGGATTTCGAATTAACCCCGTCCCGTACGCAATCCTTTTGCGTATTAAAAAAAAAAAAACTCCGTCCCGAGTCCGACTTGGAGACCGACATCCACGGCTCTGTCATCTTATGTTAATCTCATCTGATGCAGTTTTTACGGAAGCTTTGCCCAGCAGTGGGCGACGATTTTGCTCCAACACGACAATACCTATACCTAGATAGATTCATATTTCGTGTAGAGGTCAGGTTTAATATAATCCATTATCTAAAAAAAAGATAAATTCATATTTCGTCCAAAGATATACCCCCTCCATTCTATAATATAAAGGATTTTAGATTCGTATTAAGATATACTCTCTCTGTCCCATAATATAAGAGATTTTGGATGGATGTTACATAACTAGTATAATAAATCTAGTCACATCCATCCAAAATATATTATCAGAATTATATTGCTTGACCATACATGACTAGTTGAGTATTGCTAGTCGGAATTGTTAAGAGTGGTTAACGTAAAGACCTTGTGAGATTATTATCTTGATTAGAACGTAAATGCATCTAGCCTGTTGCAATTCCAAGGATTGATTCCACAAGTGTGGGAATGTATAACCTACGTCCTGATGTGAAGCAATACTGGCATAAAAAAAAAACTAGGGTTAATTAGATCCATGCCATTGTAACTTCAAAACCAGGGATGCAAACCCAGGACAGGGGTAATCGCCCCTAAGCCGTTCGATCGTAAATTTTCTACAACGTCAAGTAGAAGAGTTACATATGAAACATTTCACAGGCTAAGGGCTATGAGGTGCTACAACTACAAGATGGCTTCATGTAGATGCTGACAACTTCTAACAAGTTAATTCAGTGCCTCAGTCCAGCTCCATGGCATTATCTTGTGCCCTGCTTCTGCAGGACCAAATCTTGATCGTTCTATCATGTGACACAGTCACAATCTGCTGTCCATCTGCACAAGATTTACACAAACCACCAATTAGAAATTCAGATATGACATGTTTGAATCTTGTGGCAAGTGGATGGCATGATAATACGGCACAATCTTGAAAAGGAAAATGAAGAATGAGACAACAACGCCACCTAATGTACCGATCCCTAGAGTTTACTAGGGCATCTGTTAGGAATAAGGATCAAAAGCTGATACATTTTGCAAGAAACAAGTTGAGGGAGAATAGAGATGGAAAGAACAATCAGAACGTACAACTGGCAGATACCATTTTCAACAAAGGATTAAAGAAACAAGATGGGTATGCCATTAAGGACAAACAAACAAATGGTGGGAAATGCATGATATGCAATTTTATACGATGAAAGTGCACCATAGAATAGCATAGATCTATAAGGTTCTAAAAGTAATACAGACAAATAGGTTTGGTTTGAACCGTTTTTAGCAGCATCACTGCTCTAACAACTGCAGTTAGTTCAGAGATGAGAGTGTTGATATTGGCTAAGAAAATCCAAGTGCACTATACATGGGAATTTGTTTTAGCATAACCAAATGGTGGATGTCCAACTTGATATGAGGAATGGACAGATAAAAAGGGCTAAAACTATTGATCTCAATTCTCACAAGAAAAGGATATCCAAATATAATTTCACATACAGCAAAGATAAAAGGCACTTAAGCAAGTGGTTACCTCCACTAATATCCAAACTAGTAACCTTTGACTCATGGGCCACCAAACTCTTGATTGGTTTGTAATCACGAGCTGACCACAGCTGCAAAAGGAAGGAAGAATATCAGAAATGAGACAATAAAAGAAATAAAATAAATGGCGCATTATTATTAGGCATACTGCTGCTTTGGTGTCATAGGACGAAGTTGCCAAATAATAGCCTTCCTGGGGTTCAAACTTGACATGTGAGATAAGACTCTTATGTGCTGGTATAGAATATAACATTCTTTTAGTCCTCAAATCCCATATTCGACAGAAATTGTCTTCACTTCCAGTTGCAACCAGATAACCATTAGGGGAGAAGCTCACTCCTAAGACCTGAAAAGAAAGTAAAATCATGTTACAATATAAAAAAGCAATAGCATGTCCACAACTAAATAAATGTAACCACAAACCAAGCAATAAAGAGCCGTAACAGCTTGAAATGAATGGTACAGTACTTTAGAAAAAGATTGGAAAATTGATGCTATGAACTTACAGGCTTCACATGTCCCATGAGTGTGCCCCACAATCTTCCTGATCTTAAATCCCAAACTCGAGCATACGCATCAAGACCACAAGATGCAGCTAAAGAACCATCTGGGTGAAAGCTAACTCCATAGACACTTCTGCTGTGCCCTTCTTGGAGTAGAAGTTCCTTTCCAGTGCTAACGTCCCACAATCTCCAGGTTTTGTCAAAGCTAGCTGTAGCAAGGTACCCTCCAGATGGATGAAAAGCAAGGCGAGCAAGCCGATCGAGGTGACCATCAAAGGACAATAAGAGTGACCCATCGGTCTTCCATAGTTTGGCAGTTTTATCAGCTGAAGCTGTTGCTAAGCAGTCGTCAACTGGTGAAAACGCAACATCAGTTGCACGTTCTGTGTGACCTTTCAGAGTTGCAATTTTAGTTACTTGTGGCATACTCCACACTTTGATCATCCCACTCCATGAACTAAAAAACACAGAAATAAAGTCATTATTTACTGACAAGGAAGCAAGAACAAGAAAACATAAGTTAAGGCCAAGAACAAGAGAACATAAGCTAATTGAGGCTCAAGATTAAGGAAAAAGGTATCCAACAACATGACATCAACAATTAGTTTACCAAAATTACTAAGGCTATGTTCTTTTCAGCTACTAGCACCAGATTAACGCGGGCACGCTTCCCAAGCCGCTAAACGGTGTGATTTTTGAAAGAAACTTTCTATATAGAAGTTTATTTAAAAATTCAAATAAATCTATTTTCAAGTTTATAATAGGTAATACTTAATTAATCATGATCTAATCGAGTGTCTTTTCAGGTTAGGAAATTGGCCAATCTGATGAAATGTTGAAGCAAATGCAGCCTAAGCGTGCATGAACTTCCCTTCCAAAAACAATGTGTATATGAACTCCTATGAAATTCAATTAGCATCACAATTGAAAATCATCAGGGATACTCCACTATTGTGAAGATACCCTGTATGCGAGAAGGAGCCAGATGCTACCATGCCACCCACCTAGTGTATTTTGGAACACCGCAATAGTTCTGTTACAGGCAATCCTGCAAATGTGAAGACCAGCCTGCTCAAAATAGTGCTAGCCGATAAGCATGATACCATCCTCCATCTGCTCAATGGAAGGAAATTCTAGCTGCCCAAACATGAGCCGCTAGCTAGTTCTATAAATCATACAGCCATAAAAAAATTTGTTGATTCATCCAGCCGATATCACGCCATGATGAACTATTGTGATTGCAATTTTGAACGAGTGCTAGCTGCACCTGGTTCAACGCAAAGCAATCATGACAGAAATGCTGAAGCAGAACAGCATGGTTCTATGCAGCAGCAGTGTAAATGTGAAGAAACACGGCCATCTGCCATATATAGCAGCAATTCAGAGTGTTTTCAGTCATTGCCAATCCCAAACTTAGAACAGCTTTTACTCAATTGATATGCTAAACTGGGACAAGTTAAGCAAGTTACCAAACCCATATTAACAATTGACCTAATAAGACGATTGCAACACTTCGGCGAGCAAATCATTCCACTATTTTAAGACATACAAAGATAAAACCCTACGCTATTCCGTTTGATTAAGTGGCCGTACCTTGTAGCGAGCATTGAAAAATCTCGAGAGAAGGAGCAGCCGGTGAGGGGGCGGTCATCTCCAATCTCGCTGCACTCAAGCACGAAATCCTCCGCCTGCTTAACGACAAGGTTGGCCTCTGCCTCAGGGTCCTCGTCGGGGTCGTCATGGCAGCGCTTGGCCCGCTCTATCCTGGCCTTGGCTCGGGGCAGCGAGTACTGCGCGATGTCGACGCGCGCCTTGAGAAGCTCCTGCGTGCCCTCGGTGAAGAAGGGGTACTGGATCTGCTCCTCCTCCTCTTCGGCGCCCGCGGCGCCCTGCTCCTCCTCCTGCGCGCGGAGGAGGCGGTCGAGGTGGCCGTCGGCCTCGAGGCGGACCATGAGAGCGCGGAGGCGGTCCCGGCGCTCCATCTCGCGCTCGCCGAAGAGCGTGACGGGCTCGCCGAGGCGGCGGAGGCGCGCCCGCACGGCGGAGTCGTTGGTGGGCACGGCCATGGCGAAGGCGCGGCGGCGCTGGAGCAGCTCCTGCACCGCGCGCTCGTGGCGCTCCCGCGCGGCGCGGTGGTCATCGGAGACCTCGTAGTCAGCCTCACCGCCGCCCCCGCCGCCTCCTCCCGCCGCGGAGGTCGAGGCGACGGCGGCGGCGGCGGCCGGGGCGGGTGCTGGGGCTCGCGGAGGCGGGGCAGGGATGGGGGCGATGGGCGGGGGCACGGGGAGGGGAGCCATGGGAGGGGTCCCCGCAGGAGCCTGTGGCCTGGGGTTCTCCATGGAGGAGAGCTCGCGCGAAGGCGGCGAGCTAGGGTTAGGGTTTTGGAGGCGGAGGCGGTGGTGGCGACGGAGACGGAGGCGGAGGCGTCGCGGGCTGCAGCGCGAAGGCTCTTTTGATTTAATTCCCCTTTCTATGTTGGTTAATTACGGTAGGAGTATATGATTTGGGGTAATTGTAATTTGCCGTTTTTTTTGAATCGCCATTGCAATTGCAAAATTGCCATAAAAACTGTTGTTCGAATAACACTCGTTTAAAATGTAAAAACTACTCCAGCGGAAAATTTACAAATGTTCATTTGAATCTAGATAGAACACAAAAGATGCGAACAATTCATGACACATGCATTTCGGTCTATTTGAAATTGGGGATTTTTTTACTTTAGTTGAATTAATCTCTATCTCTACTTATATATACTTTTAAAAAAAATAAGAGATGCTTCCTTCGTCCGTCAAAAAAAATAACGAAAAAATTAAAAAAAAGGTCCGACTCAAAGATAGCGAAAAAATAATAAAAAAAGGTCCGACTCCTATTCCTCTCATAAAAAAAAAGTCCGACTCTATATCCGATTCCCCCTTAAAAAGAAAAAATAAAAGGCACCATTCCTCTCGGTTTAAGTCCGAGATCCCAAAATAAGAGATGCTTCCTTCGCCCATCAAAAAATAGCGAAAAAATAAAAAAAAAGTCCGACTCAAAAATAGAGAAAAAATAATAATAAAAAAAGGTCCGACTCCTATTCCTCTGGCCTGACTCATATTCCTCTCATTAAAAAAAAGTCCGACTCTATATCCGATTCCCCCTTAAAAAGAAAAAAAAAGGCACTATTCCTCTCGGTTTGAGTCCGAGATCCCAGGCACGTTTCAATCTATATCATGATATCCTATACATCTTGGTAAAAAAAATTGATGTGCCGGATTGAAGATTTATTTGCAAAAATGGAATCTACAGGTCGAGAGCATTCCATTTTTATATAATTTTAATTTTTGGATTTGTACTTTTGCATTCGAGTCCCTGTAATTTTTATATTTACATTTGAGTCCCTATAATCTTTGCAATAAGGTTCTTGAGGTTGTTTTTGTTAAAAAAATGATAAAAGTGAGAGAACAAAGGCAGAAAGGTGCATAAAAAGAAAAATAAAAGCCGCACAAAAAAAGAAAAACAATAACAACAAAAGTCTGTTTCCCTAAGTGAAAAAAAAGCGTAGATCCGAATGGAAAAAAATCGATTACTATAAAAGGCAAAAAAAAGTGGTGAAAAAAAAACGCTAGATCTAATTCCTTTAAAAAAGAAAAAAGAGAAAAAAAGTGATTCCTTTAAAGGCGAAAAAAATCCAAAAAAAACATCTAAAAAAGTCTGTCCGATTCCCTTAAAGAAGTGGCGAAAAAAATGGTTCGTAAAAAATAAGAAGCTGGTTTGTATAAAATAAAAAATGCACGTGAGAAAAAAAATGGAAAGGGCGAAACAAAGTCCGATTTCTAATCAGTATATATCTCTTCTCTATCTCTAATCTAATCTAAAAATAGAAAATGCATGAGAAAATAAAAACTGTTCAAAAAACGCGTGAGAAAAAAGTTAGAAAAAAGCGCAAAAAAACACGCTAAAAAGGTTTTACATCTTCCATAAAACAAAAAAACGCGCGAGAATAATTATTTCCATCGCCGGTAAAATTTTTTTTTTAAAAAAAACATGCGAGGAAAAAGCTGTAAAAAAGCGCGCCATTTCTAAAAAAATAGTTTGAAAAAACCGCGCAAGAAAAAAAAGCACCATCTATTAAAAACAAATCGCTCTGAAAAAACTGTCAGAAAAAACACTAAATTGATGGACGCTTGAGTCAGATAGAATCCATCGATTTTTTGCCATCTACTACACGGCTATTATTTCGTCACATATTGTCATGTATTGAAAAAAAAAGCAAAAAAGAACATTTAACAAAAAGACAAGAAAAAAGCGCGCGAGAAAATGATTGTTAGAAAAAACATGCAAAAAACACACGAGAAAATAAAAGCAAAAAAAAGGGGAGAAAAATATGGTTTTCATCGTCATTAAAAAAAGAAAAAAAACATGCTAGGAAAAAACTATTAGAAAGAAATGCGCCATTTCTGAAAAATAGTTTGAGAAAATCGCGCAAGAAGAAAAACACTGTTTATAAAAAAACAAGCCGCTCATCAAAATACAAACATTGTCATTAACATGATTATGCATGAAAAACGTATATTATTATTAGAATTTTTTCACCCGTTGTAACGCATGGGCATTTTTGCTAGTTCTTATAATATTTCTAAGATTAGGTTCTTACAGTATAAATTATACTTTTGAGAATTACACTTATTGTATCGTTTGATTTCGTCTATTCACCCAATCCATTCAATTTCATTCATATGACATTTATCCATCTAGCTTTTGCTTATTAGACTTAAAATGTTGCTTTCGGCCCATCTCCACCCACACCCGTATCGTCTCTTTATCTCCACAAGGAAAACACGATGGAGTGACGAAACACCTCTTTTAGTGAGCAGATGCAGTGCGTCTCTGGTTCACGGGTGATCGTATATCATGATGCAGCAGCAGCAGGCCAGGAGATTCCCACCCCCATCTTCTTGACATGAAACTATTAGTCATCCACAATGTTGCATAAAAAATATGATATTAAGAAATAAGCCATAGTCCATATTAAAAGCATAGTGCACCGAGTCCCGGGGTCATTCTCCCGTTGTGTTTGTTGGTGCTAGACATCAGACGTTGGATGAAGCCACGATCCGAGTCGCCATGCAACTAACGAATCTATGTTATCTTTCTCTTCCAAGCCCCAAACTATAGATGGCCAAATGGCCCACCTGTCCTAGCTTGGCCCGGCCCGGGCACGACTAGGCTTGAGCCCAAGATCAGTCGGGCCGGCACGGCCCAACCTACACACCGTGTTGGGTCGTGCCTGCCCATAGGCTGCATCAACGGTCTAGGCACGACCTAATAAGACTCGGGCTGACCAGAAGATAAGATAGTCCATCGTGCTCCTTCTTTGGGTTGTAGTATTTTATATGGTTGAAATAAGTCTACTTTGTATCCTCAACTGTTTTGCCTCCTGATCGTTGAACCGTATCGTGCCGGGCCGACCCACCTTACGTAGGCAGAGGCCCAGACACAACTCAACGGTCAGACGGATCAGCACAGGCTTGACACCAGTCGAGCCGAGCCGAAACCCCGTACTGTGGGCCGGGTCATCGGCCCCGCGCCTGTTTTGGCCATCTATACCTACAACACGCGAGTATCGTTCGCTCAGAAGAAGTCATATCCCCGGAGCCTTCGAATCAAAAAGAGAAAAAAAGAAAAGAAAAGAAAAGAAAAATCCCCTCCGCCTCCTCCCCCAATCCTTAACCTAAACTCCGATCCCCTCCGCCTTCCATGGCTGCCATGGGAAGAACTGTACTACCTTCCTATGTTCTTCTGGATCGCATCGTTCGATCGGAGGAGGAAGCCGTCGAGGAGGAGTCGGAGTGGGCGGCCATGGAGTGCGCGGACTGGAAGTCGTACGGGTGCCACCCCGGTGACGAACGCTACCCCAGGAACGCCGCTAGGGTGAAGGGCATGCTGCTCCTGGCGCGCCTCGCGGAGCCCCCGGGTCTCTCCGAGCTCTCCATCCGCCTCTCCGCCGCCGCCGCCGTGCCCAGGCCGCCGCCGGCCAGCTTCCCCCCCGGCGCCGCCGTCCCGCCCATCCCCAACTTGCCCGACGCGTCACCGTACGACGACCCGCCGCTCACCTACGTCGAGGCGGCAGGCGACGGCCTCATCGCCCTCACCTCGTGCTTCCGGGATGGCTGCAGCTGCTACCTCGTCTACGACGTCGTCGGCAAGTCGCTCTCCATGATCCCGGGCCTGCCCGAGTCCTGCCTCACCTACTGCAGCATGCGGCCTCTCCCCCTGCGCACCGCCGCCGCCGGTGGCTACGCGCTGCGCAGCAGCTACTCGCTGGCCATCGTGGCTAAGGACATGCGGTTTGACATGGAAGCGGGGCGAGACGTCTACCGGGATGTTCTCTGCCTGTGCCCACCGCGGCCATCATCATCCTCAAGTTCCAGGGGGGGCATCACGCCATGGCAATTCAAGGACGCCATCTTCCCATCACAGATGCCGGGTTCCTTCCACGGTGACAAGGTGTTCTCGTTCGGAGGCCACGCGTTCTGGGCCGACCTCGCAAAGGGCGTCCTCTTCTGTAGGTGCGACGATGCTCTCTCCGGCCGCAATGATGATGCCGTGCAATTCCGCTACATCCCGCTGCCTGTAGAGTGCCATCTTAAAATCAGTTTCGCCATGAGGGGTGACCTCCAGCTATGCCGCACAATGAGCTGTGTCGACGGCTGCGGTGACTCTATCAAGTTCGTCTGCATCAGTGACGGCGGATCCAGCTCTGCGCACACCGGCGATCGTGCGATAACGATGTGGACACTGACCCTCGCAACCGGGGAGTGGCTGAAAGATGCACAACTCATGGTGGCAGATCTGTGGGAGCTGGAGGGCTTCGACAAGGCGAGGTTGCCCAAGGCCATACCAATTAGCCCTGTCCTGAACCCTCAGGAAGATGGTGTCCTTAGTTTCATGCTCAACGATGCCGATGCAGAGCTGTACATGGTCAGCCTTAACATGCACAGCAAGAAGCTCCTCTCGTCCTTGACCCTCTCATCCTGCCCTGATGACATTGTTCCTCCTTTGGGTTTGGATCTTTCCAAAGACCTTCAGAATCTGTCTCTTCGCCCTATTGCTGCTGAGTCTGTTCCAGCCAAGACACAGGGACGCCCAATTGCAACCAAGAGGAGGAGGTCGTCATTACCGTAGTGACATCTTTGTCAGGTAATTCTACCGCTATAAGCTTCTGCAGTCTGTCGATGAGATGATGAGGTCAGGTAATTCTACCGCTATAAGCTTCTGCAGTCTGTCGATGAGATGATGATTTATTTAGCTTCAACTGCTGTGATCCATGCTTTACTGATTTGTTGTTAATTGTTATAAATATACTGCTAGTTGTGCCACACTGCCATTTAAGATACTCTGAAGAATAAGGATAGATGATTAATTTAGCTTCAACTGGTGTGACCCATACTCTCATTTGTTTGTTAATTATTATAACTATATTGCTAGTTGTGCCATTTAAGATACTCTGAGGAATAAGCTTCTGTAGATGAGATGATTAATTTAGCTTCAATTGGTGTGACCTATACTTACTGATTTGTTGTTAATTAGTATTGTACTGCTAGTTGTGCCATTTAAATTGCTCTGAGGAATAAAAGCAGCTAGCATGAAATTGCCATCCTTCTAACTTCTAGTTTATTTTGCTTGACAACAGTGGACGGCTCGTGATGCTGGAGCAGACTTCATTTTGCCAGGCTGCTGCTTACTTGGTAGGGTAGGGATCGTATTCTTCGTGCCGTCTTGCTGTTTTGCAAGCTGACTCTTTAGGTTTTATATTGCTGCCGCCACCGTTATGAAATCAGATGATGAACACAATATAAGAGATTTTGGATGGATGTTACATAACTAGTATAATAAATCTAGTCACATCCATCCAAAATATATTATCAGAATTATATTGCTTGACCATACATGACTAGTTGAGTATTGCTAGTCGGAATTGTTAAGAGTGGTTAACGTAAAGACCTTGTGAGATTATTATCTTGATTAGAACGTAAATGCATCTAGCCTGTTGCAATTCCAAGGATTGATTCCACAAGTGTGGGAATGTATAACCTACGTCCTGATGTGAAGCAATACTGGCATAAAAAAAAACTAGGGTTAATTAGATCCATGCCATTGTAACTTCAAAACCAGGGATGCAAACCCAGGACAGGGGTAATCGCCCCTAAGCCGTTCGATCGTAAATTTTCTACAACGTCAAGTAGAAGAGTTACATATGAAACATTTCACAGGCTAAGGGCTATGAGGTGCTACAACTACAAGATGGCTTCATGTAGATGCTGACAACTTCTAACAAGTTAATTCAGTGCCTCAGTCCAGCTCCATGGCATTATCTTGTGCCCTGCTTCTGCAGGACCAAATCTTGATCGTTCTATCATGTGACACAGTCACAATCTGCTGTCCATCTGCACAAGATTTACACAAACCACCAATTAGAAATTCAGATATGACATGTTTGAATCTTGTGGCAAGTGGATGGCATGATAATACGGCACAATCTTGAAAAGGAAAATGAAGAATGAGACAACAACGCCACCTAATGTACCGATCCCTAGAGTTTACTAGGGCATCTGTTAGGAATAAGGATCAAAAGCTGATACATTTTGCAAGAAACAAGTTGAGGGAGAATAGAGATGGAAAGAACAATCAGAACGTACAACTGGCAGATACCATTTTCAACAAAGGATTAAAGAAACAAGATGGGTATGCCATTAAGGACAAACAAACAAATGGTGGGAAATGCATGATATGCAATTTTATACGATGAAAGTGCACCATAGAATAGCATAGATCTATAAGGTTCTAAAAGTAATACAGACAAATAGGTTTGGTTTGAACCGTTTTTAGCAGCATCACTGCTCTAACAACTGCAGTTAGTTCAGAGATGAGAGTGTTGATATTGGCTAAGAAAATCCAAGTGCACTATACATGGGAATTTGTTTTAGCATAACCAAATGGTGGATGTCCAACTTGATATGAGGAATGGACAGATAAAAAGGGCTAAAACTATTGATCTCAATTCTCACAAGAAAAGGATATCCAAATATAATTTCACATACAGCAAAGATAAAAGGCACTTAAGCAAGTGGTTACCTCCACTAATATCCAAACTAGTAACCTTTGACTCATGGGCCACCAAACTCTTGATTGGTTTGTAATCACGAGCTGACCACAGCTGCAAAAGGAAGGAAGAATATCAGAAATGAGACAATAAAAGAAATAAAATAAATGGCGCATTATTATTAGGCATACTGCTGCTTTGGTGTCATAGGACGAAGTTGCCAAATAATAGCCTTCCTGGGGTTCAAACTTGACATGTGAGATAAGACTCTTATGTGCTGGTATAGAATATAACATTCTTTTAGTCCTCAAATCCCATATTCGACAGAAATTGTCTTCACTTCCAGTTGCAACCAGATAACCATTAGGGGAGAAGCTCACTCCTAAGACCTGAAAAGAAAGTAAAATCATGTTACAATATAAAAAAGCAATAGCATGTCCACAACTAAATAAATGTAACCACAAACCAAGCAATAAAGAGCCGTAACAGCTTGAAATGAATGGTACAGTACTTTAGAAAAAGATTGGAAAATTGATGCTATGAACTTACAGGCTTCACATGTCCCATGAGTGTGCCCCACAATCTTCCTGATCTTAAATCCCAAACTCGAGCATACGCATCAAGACCACAAGATGCAGCTAAAGAACCATCTGGGTGAAAGCTAACTCCATAGACACTTCTGCTGTGCCCTTCTTGGAGTAGAAGTTCCTTTCCAGTGCTAACGTCCCACAATCTCCAGGTTTTGTCAAAGCTAGCTGTAGCAAGGTACCCTCCAGATGGATGAAAAGCAAGGCGAGCAAGCCGATCGAGGTGACCATCAAAGGACAATAAGAGTGACCCATCGGTCTTCCATAGTTTGGCAGTTTTATCAGCTGAAGCTGTTGCTAAGCAGTCGTCAACTGGTGAAAACGCAACATCAGTTGCACGTTCTGTGTGACCTTTCAGAGTTGCAATTTTAGTTACTTGTGGCATACTCCACACTTTGATCATCCCACTCCATGAACTAAAAAACACAGAAATAAAGTCATTATTTACTGACAAGGAAGCAAGAACAAGAAAACATAAGTTAAGGCCAAGAACAAGAGAACATAAGCTAATTGAGGCTCAAGATTAAGGAAAAAGGTATCCAACAACATGACATCAACAATTAGTTTACCAAAATTACTAAGGCTATGTTCTTTTCAGCTACTAGCACCAGATTAACGCGGGCACGCTTCCCAAGCCGCTAAACGGTGTGATTTTTGAAAGAAACTTTCTATATAGAAGTTTATTTAAAAATTCAAATAAATCTATTTTCAAGTTTATAATAGGTAATACTTAATTAATCATGATCTAATCGAGTGTCTTTTCAGGTTAGGAAATTGGCCAATCTGATGAAATGTTGAAGCAAATGCAGCCTAAGCGTGCATGAACTTCCCTTCCAAAAACAATGTGTATATGAACTCCTATGAAATTCAATTAGCATCACAATTGAAAATCATCAGGGATACTCCACTATTGTGAAGATACCCTGTATGCGAGAAGGAGCCAGATGCTACCATGCCACCCACCTAGTGTATTTTGGAACACCGCAATAGTTCTGTTACAGGCAATCCTGCAAATGTGAAGACCAGCCTGCTCAAAATAGTGCTAGCCGATAAGCATGATACCATCCTCCATCTGCTCAATGGAAGGAAATTCTAGCTGCCCAAACATGAGCCGCTAGCTAGTTCTATAAATCATACAGCCATAAAAAAATTTGTTGATTCATCCAGCCGATATCACGCCATGATGAACTATTGTGATTGCAATTTTGAACGAGTGCTAGCTGCACCTGGTTCAACGCAAAGCAATCATGACAGAAATGCTGAAGCAGAACAGCATGGTTCTATGCAGCAGCAGTGTAAATGTGAAGAAACACGGCCATCTGCCATATATAGCAGCAATTCAGAGTGTTTTCAGTCATTGCCAATCCCAAACTTAGAACAGCTTTTACTCAATTGATATGCTAAACTGGGACAAGTTAAGCAAGTTACCAAACCCATATTAACAATTGACCTAATAAGACGATTGCAACACTTCGGCGAGCAAATCATTCCACTATTTTAAGACATACAAAGATAAAACCCTACGCTATTCCGTTTGATTAAGTGGCCGTACCTTGTAGCGAGCATTGAAAAATCTCGAGAGAAGGAGCAGCCGGTGAGGGGGCGGTCATCTCCAATCTCGCTGCACTCAAGCACGAAATCCTCCGCCTGCTTAACGACAAGGTTGGCCTCTGCCTCAGGGTCCTCGTCGGGGTCGTCATGGCAGCGCTTGGCCCGCTCTATCCTGGCCTTGGCTCGGGGCAGCGAGTACTGCGCGATGTCGACGCGCGCCTTGAGAAGCTCCTGCGTGCCCTCGGTGAAGAAGGGGTACTGGATCTGCTCCTCCTCCTCTTCGGCGCCCGCGGCGCCCTGCTCCTCCTCCTGCGCGCGGAGGAGGCGGTCGAGGTGGCCGTCGGCCTCGAGGCGGACCATGAGAGCGCGGAGGCGGTCCCGGCGCTCCATCTCGCGCTCGCCGAAGAGCGTGACGGGCTCGCCGAGGCGGCGGAGGCGCGCCCGCACGGCGGAGTCGTTGGTGGGCACGGCCATGGCGAAGGCGCGGCGGCGCTGGAGCAGCTCCTGCACCGCGCGCTCGTGGCGCTCCCGCGCGGCGCGGTGGTCATCGGAGACCTCGTAGTCAGCCTCACCGCCGCCCCCGCCGCCTCCTCCCGCCGCGGAGGTCGAGGCGACGGCGGCGGCGGCGGCCGGGGCGGGTGCTGGGGCTCGCGGAGGCGGGGCAGGGATGGGGGCGATGGGCGGGGGCACGGGGAGGGGAGCCATGGGAGGGGTCCCCGCAGGAGCCTGTGGCCTGGGGTTCTCCATGGAGGAGAGCTCGCGCGAAGGCGGCGAGCTAGGGTTAGGGTTTTGGAGGCGGAGGCGGTGGTGGCGACGGAGACGGAGGCGGAGGCGTCGCGGGCTGCAGCGCGAAGGCTCTTTTGATTTAATTCCCCTTTCTATGTTGGTTAATTACGGTAGGAGTATATGATTTGGGGTAATTGTAATTTGCCGTTTTTTTTGAATCGCCATTGCAATTGCAAAATTGCCATAAAAACTGTTGTTCGAATAACACTCGTTTAAAATGTAAAAACTACTCCAGCGGAAAATTTACAAATGTTCATTTGAATCTAGATAGAACACAAAAGATGCGAACAATTCATGACACATGCATTTCGGTCTATTTGAAATTGGGGATTTTTTTACTTTAGTTGAATTAATCTCTATCTCTACTTATATATACTTTTAAAAAAAATAAGAGATGCTTCCTTCGTCCGTCAAAAAAAATAACGAAAAAATTAAAAAAAAGGTCCGACTCAAAGATAGCGAAAAAATAATAAAAAAAGGTCCGACTCCTATTCCTCTCATAAAAAAAAAGTCCGACTCTATATCCGATTCCCCCTTAAAAAGAAAAAATAAAAGGCACCATTCCTCTCGGTTTAAGTCCGAGATCCCAAAATAAGAGATGCTTCCTTCGCCCATCAAAAAATAGCGAAAAAATAAAAAAAAAGTCCGACTCAAAAATAGAGAAAAAATAATAATAAAAAAAGGTCCGACTCCTATTCCTCTGGCCTGACTCATATTCCTCTCATTAAAAAAAAGTCCGACTCTATATCCGATTCCCCCTTAAAAAGAAAAAAAAAGGCACTATTCCTCTCGGTTTGAGTCCGAGATCCCAGGCACGTTTCAATCTATATCATGATATCCTATACATCTTGGTAAAAAAAATTGATGTGCCGGATTGAAGATTTATTTGCAAAAATGGAATCTACAGGTCGAGAGCATTCCATTTTTATATAATTTTAATTTTTGGATTTGTACTTTTGCATTCGAGTCCCTGTAATTTTTATATTTACATTTGAGTCCCTATAATCTTTGCAATAAGGTTCTTGAGGTTGTTTTTGTTAAAAAAATGATAAAAGTGAGAGAACAAAGGCAGAAAGGTGCATAAAAAGAAAAATAAAAGCCGCACAAAAAAAGAAAAACAATAACAACAAAAGTCTGTTTCCCTAAGTGAAAAAAAAGCGTAGATCCGAATGGAAAAAAATCGATTACTATAAAAGGCAAAAAAAAGTGGTGAAAAAAAAACGCTAGATCTAATTCCTTTAAAAAAGAAAAAAGAGAAAAAAAGTGATTCCTTTAAAGGCGAAAAAAATCCAAAAAAAACATCTAAAAAAGTCTGTCCGATTCCCTTAAAGAAGTGGCGAAAAAAATGGTTCGTAAAAAATAAGAAGCTGGTTTGTATAAAATAAAAAATGCACGTGAGAAAAAAAATGGAAAGGGCGAAACAAAGTCCGATTTCTAATCAGTATATATCTCTTCTCTATCTCTAATCTAATCTAAAAATAGAAAATGCATGAGAAAATAAAAACTGTTCAAAAAACGCGTGAGAAAAAAGTTAGAAAAAAGCGCAAAAAAACACGCTAAAAAGGTTTTACATCTTCCATAAAACAAAAAAACGCGCGAGAATAATTATTTCCATCGCCGGTAAAATTTTTTTTTTAAAAAAAACATGCGAGGAAAAAGCTGTAAAAAAGCGCGCCATTTCTAAAAAAATAGTTTGAAAAAACCGCGCAAGAAAAAAAAGCACCATCTATTAAAAACAAATCGCTCTGAAAAAACTGTCAGAAAAAACACTAAATTGATGGACGCTTGAGTCAGATAGAATCCATCGATTTTTTGCCATCTACTACACGGCTATTATTTCGTCACATATTGTCATGTATTGAAAAAAAAAGCAAAAAAGAACATTTAACAAAAAGACAAGAAAAAAGCGCGCGAGAAAATGATTGTTAGAAAAAACATGCAAAAAACACACGAGAAAATAAAAGCAAAAAAAAGGGGAGAAAAATATGGTTTTCATCGTCATTAAAAAAAGAAAAAAAACATGCTAGGAAAAAACTATTAGAAAGAAATGCGCCATTTCTGAAAAATAGTTTGAGAAAATCGCGCAAGAAGAAAAACACTGTTTATAAAAAAACAAGCCGCTCATCAAAATACAAACATTGTCATTAACATGATTATGCATGAAAAACGTATATTATTATTAGAATTTTTTCACCCGTTGTAACGCATGGGCATTTTTGCTAGTTCTTATAATATTTCTAAGATTAGGTTCTTACAGTATAAATTATACTTTTGAGAATTACACTTATTGTATCGTTTGATTTCGTCTATTCACCCAATCCATTCAATTTCATTCATATGACATTTATCCATCTAGCTTTTGCTTATTAGACTTAAAATGTTGCTTTCGGCCCATCTCCACCCACACCCGTATCGTCTCTTTATCTCCACAAGGAAAACACGATGGAGTGACGAAACACCTCTTTTAGTGAGCAGATGCAGTGCGTCTCTGGTTCACGGGTGATCGTATATCATGATGCAGCAGCAGCAGGCCAGGAGATTCCCACCCCCATCTTCTTGACATGAAACTATTAGTCATCCACAATGTTGCATAAAAAATATGATATTAAGAAATAAGCCATAGTCCATATTAAAAGCATAGTGCACCGAGTCCCGGGGTCATTCTCCCGTTGTGTTTGTTGGTGCTAGACATCAGACGTTGGATGAAGCCACGATCCGAGTCGCCATGCAACTAACGAATCTATGTTATCTTTCTCTTCCAAGCCCCAAACTATAGATGGCCAAATGGCCCACCTGTCCTAGCTTGGCCCGGCCCGGGCACGACTAGGCTTGAGCCCAAGATCAGTCGGGCCGGCACGGCCCAACCTACACACCGTGTTGGGTCGTGCCTGCCCATAGGCTGCATCAACGGTCTAGGCACGACCTAATAAGACTCGGGCTGACCAGAAGATAAGATAGTCCATCGTGCTCCTTCTTTGGGTTGTAGTATTTTATATGGTTGAAATAAGTCTACTTTGTATCCTCAACTGTTTTGCCTCCTGATCGTTGAACCGTATCGTGCCGGGCCGACCCACCTTACGTAGGCAGAGGCCCAGACACAACTCAACGGTCAGACGGATCAGCACAGGCTTGACACCAGTCGAGCCGAGCCGAAACCCCGTACTGTGGGCCGGGTCATCGGCCCCGCGCCTGTTTTGGCCATCTATACCTACAACACGCGAGTATCGTTCGCTCAGAAGAAGTCATATCCCCGGAGCCTTCGAATCAAAAAGAGAAAAAAAGAAAAGAAAAGAAAAGAAAAATCCCCTCCGCCTCCTCCCCCAATCCTTAACCTAAACTCCGATCCCCTCCGCCTTCCATGGCTGCCATGGGAAGAACTGTACTACCTTCCTATGTTCTTCTGGATCGCATCGTTCGATCGGAGGAGGAAGCCGTCGAGGAGGAGTCGGAGTGGGCGGCCATGGAGTGCGCGGACTGGAAGTCGTACGGGTGCCACCCCGGTGACAAACGCTACCCCAGGAACGCCGCTAGGGTGAAGGGCATGCTGCTCCTGGCGCGCCTCGCGGAGCCCCCGGGTCTCTCCGAGCTCTCCATCCGCCTCTCCGCCGCCGCCGCCGTGCCCAGGCCGCCGCCGGCCAGCTTCCCCCCCGGCGCCGCCGTCCCGCCCATCCCCAACTTGCCCGACGCGTCACCGGCGCCGCTCACCTACGTCGAGGCGGCAGGCGACGGCCTCATCGCCCTCACCTCGTGCTTCCGGGATGGCTGCAGCTGCTACCTCGTCTACGACGTCGTCGGCAAGTCGCTCTCCATGATCCCGGGCCTGCCCGAGTCCTGCCTCACCTACTGCAGCATGCGGCCTCTCCCCCTGCGCACCGCCGCCGCCGGTGGCTACGCGCTGCGCAGCAGCTACTCGCTGGCCATCGTGGCTAAGGACTTGCGGTTTGACATGGAAGCGGGGGGAGACGTCTACCGGGATGTTCTCTGCCTGTGCCCACCGCGGCCATCATCATCCTCAAGTTCCAGGGGGGGCATCACGCCATGGCAATTCAAGGACGCCATCTTCCCATCACAGATGCCGCGTTCCTTCCACGGTGACAAGGTGTTCTCGTTCGGAGGCCACGCGTTCTGGGCCGACCTCGCAAAGGGCGTCCTCTTCTGTAGGTGCGACGACGCTCTCTCCGGCCGCAATGATGATGCCGTGCAATTCCGCTACATCCCGCTGCCTGTAGAGTGCCATCTTAACATCAGTTTCGCCATGAGGGGTGACCTCCAGCTATGCCGCACAATGAGCTGTGTCGACGGCGGCGGTGACTCTATCAAGTTCGTCTGCATCAGTGACGGCGGATCCAGCTCTGCGCACACCGGCGATCGTGCGATAACGATGTGGACACTGACCCTCGCAACCGGGGAGTGGCTGAAAGATGCACAACTCATGGTGGCAGATCTGTGGGAGCTGGAGGGCTTCGACAAGGCGAGGTTGCCCAAGGCCATACCAATTAGCCCTGTCCTGAACCCTCAGGAAGATGGTGTCCTTAGTTTCATGCTCAACGATGCCGATGCAGAGCTGTACATGGTCAGCCTTAACATGCACAGCAAGAAGCTCCTCTCGTCCTTGACCCTCTCATCCTGCCCTGATGACATTGTTCCTCCTTTGGGTTTGGATCTTTCCAAAGACCTTCAGAATCTGTCTCTTCGCCCTATTGCTGCTGAGTCTGTTCCAGCCAAGACACAGGGACGCCCAATTGCAACCAAGAGGAGGAGGTCGTCATTACCGTAGTGACATCTTTGTCAGGTAATTCTACCGCTATAAGCTTCTGCAGTCTGTCGATGAGATGATGAGGTCAGGTAATTCTACCGCTATAAGCTTCTGCAGTCTGTCGATGAGATGATGATTTATTTAGCTTCAACTGCTGTGATCCATGCTTTACTGATTTGTTGTTAATTGTTATAAATATACTGCTAGTTGTGCCACACTGCCATTTAAGATACTCTGAAGAATAAGGATAGATGATTAATTTAGCTTCAACTGGTGTGACCCATACTTTCTCATTTGTTTGTTAATTATTATAACTATATTGCTAGTTGTGC